TTCTGCTGCAAGGGCTTAATTAGAGCTCACACAGCAGACTGGGCTGAGGGTTTCTGGCACTGAGCTGAATTTCCTGCTGTTGCAGCTGACCTTGGTTCTGGCTCTCCTCTGGCACTTAGGTCACTGGTGGGAGCAGTTTTAGGTCTGTGAATGACAACATAGCAGTGTAAGCTATATGTGAAAAACAMTATATATGAATATACATAAGGAAGAAGCAGAGATTTCCATTTAAGTTGTTTAAAGCCTACATAAGGAAACTTGAAGTACCTTGGGGTAGGTGAGGACGGTCAGGGTTATCTTGGACAGCAAAGAGGATGGCATAAATGCTTCAGAGCAAATTGCACGAAAGRGCAAACCAACAGCACCCCAGAGGAGACTTCATTCATCCTATGAAGAACCACGGTATGCACTTGCACGTAGACAAAACACTGCTTCTTTTTGTCACTCATACCTGAACCAGATGATAAAAGACCTTCAAAAAGCCACTCAAAAACACATGCTCTTCTTCCCTAGCAGACAGCACCTTGCAATTCTCAGCTCTGAATTTTGTGCCAGTCACATTTGAATGACTTTCATTCTGCTCTTTTCCTTTTTTTCCCTGAAGTCCAAGAGTGTCACTATGTCCACAGCGACATGGCTCTYGGGGCAATCAGTCTGTTGGACACAGGCACTCGGGCATGCCTGTCACCCCGGAGAGGCCACCAGCCTTGCTCCAAGGGCAGCCACTGAGTAGACCTAAGAGCAGCACTTCAGCAARCAGCATCCTGCTGGCTTTTCCAAAAAGCAGCATTACTGACATTAAAGTGTGATGGTGAGTGGATAGTAGATACCTTGCTAGAGGCAATAATTGCAGCAGAGCAGAGAGACAATTTGAGAGAGAGTTCTTATTAAATGCTCTCACCCCTGTGTGCTTAATAGGAGTGACTTCGTGTAGCAGAGCAGGTCTATATGTTAAACTTATGGTAGTTTCAGAGGAAACTTAACTTATGGTTAAGTTTCACAGGGAATAAAAGGAAAGAAGAAAGTAAACTTAAAAAAAAAAAAAAAAACAGAGCAGGTCTATATGTTAAACTTATGGTAGTTTCAGAGGAAACTTAACTTATGGTTAAGTTTCACAGGGAATAAAAGGAAAGAAGAAAGTAAACTTAAAAAAAAAAAAAAAAAAGGAAATAAAGTGCTTATTTTTCACACTTTCCATCATCACAGACCTAAGAGAAGAGGGGCTGTGCGCTTTTCCGTCCTTCGCAGGCAGAACCAGCAGGTTGTGCTCGAGAACCAGCAATCTGCTGCTCCCAGCTAAAACCGCAGCTACAGGGAAGGGGGAAGCAAAACTCTCTATAGGAACCTTCCTCCATAAGCCCCAGCCAACTTGTTTTAAACTTACAAGCAAAATCACATTTCTGGCTATTATCATCTCATAAAATAAGCAGAGTTTTCTTGATCCATCCTTTCGTATAACTACTAAAATATATCTAAATGTAAATGTACAACATATCTAGATGTGAGGTATATTCTGAACATGTACTATACAAATAGTATATAGTTGGTACCATAGGAAGCATTTTAAAATACCTGATTTAAAATACCTAACCAGTAGCTGTTCCCGCACAATTTCCTCTTTTGGACTTCTCTCAGCTTCCAGCTAGGAAATACTCTCCCATGCAGCCCTGGAATTTAGCCTCCACAGCTGGAAAAGGTAGATTTCATAGGCACAATATCTTCCTGCTTCAGTAATAACCCAAACTTCCAAAAGTACAATAGTTTATTGCTTGCTATCTTTCTTGCACAGATAAGTCAGAAATATTAACATTTTAACAGCTTAAACCAGTGAACTTCATGCTACCAGATGCAATTTAAGATTTGGGTTATAGCTAGAGCCCAGTGCAGCTCCCCTGCGCAGAATCCAGCATAACCTCATTAATGACATTTAGATCCTCRGTGATACAGAAACACATTGTCATTAATGAGAGAATCCTCTGAGGGTGGGATGAAAGACRGTAGTGATATGGATTTAATGGAATGACAAATCCACCCCACTTCCTTCAATTTTAATTGGAATTTCACTGTTAAAAAAAGCTGGGATTGCCAGGATGTGGAGCCAACCCTGCACGAAGGGTGACATACACGGAATAAACCACAGCCTGCATCTCATTTGGACACAGGATTGTAGTTTAGAAACATATTGTTAATATCTAAGTCAACCTTCCAAACCAACCAATTCTAACACGACACTTTTAGAAATACCACCCACGTTCTATAAAAATTCAGTTATGAGATGCAGCCCACGGGGATTAATGAGGGTTTGACTTTATTCCTCAAGAGATTCTAAGAGTTTTGTTTTTCCATTATACCACTATAATTTTCCTATATATGAAAGCTGCCTAGATAATTCCAGCCAAGTAAAGGGCTTGATTTCACAGCTAACACAAATGGACGAAATAAAAAATAATATAAAGCAACTGTCATTACTCAGGCTATATTTTAGCACAGATATTATTTGTGTAAATCAACACGTAGTAGACAAACCAGATTTCAGATCATTTTCTTGGCTGAAACTTCTGTGATTTCCAAGGAGGGCACTATAGGATATTCCATAGCCTCGCTAATACAAAGCCTTACCTCTGTAGTAATGCTGGGATAAGATGGTTTTCAGCAATATTATGGACTGCGGAGGTGGTCCCAGTTGCACAGACCTTGCAGCTCTTACCTCTCCATTCACGTAGTGAATGCGGTTGAAAACTGCCCAAGCCCTCCACTCTGTGCTCACCAGGACTTTCAGGATGAGGAATAAACAAACATATTAGCCTGTGCAGAGCTGGCTGGAATGCTAAATTCTAAATTCTAACCTCTAAATTCATATTATGTAGCCCTGGCAGCGCACTTGGATTTGATCTCCGTCTGCTAGTATCTCTTCTGCAAAGTTCTTTTGTTTGCAGATTGGAACTGGGCATCACAGGGGCTCAGGTGGGGATCCTGGTACTAGCAGAAAAGCAAGATAATCTTGTTCTCACCAACTCTAACAATTYTTTTCCTTTCCACCTCCTCTCAAAAAAGGAAAACAGAATGAGCAGGAGAGAGAACACTTAGCCAGTTAGCAAGGAATATTTCCTCCTAATTTTTGAGAGATTTGAGTGCCTATAAAACTGTAGGAGAAAAAAGACGCTCTTCCTCAGTAAACACAAGCTACATATTTTACACCCTTACATAACTCTCAGAAGTGACCCAAAGACTGTCAGTATGAGACGTCTAACACTTGTGATATTTCTGCCTCTGGGTGTGTATTGCTTTCAGTTGCATTATGCATAATTTAGCACATTTATATATGTTTCTTAGTTTATGCACTTCAAATATGCTTTACTCAGCCTAATGACTAGGTCTTCACTTACAGCCATCTGGATGATTTGTTTCATAAAGTGGTTTGGAAGAATGTGCTTTATTCATAATTGTTGTGTGGCCGACTGTAACGTGGCCTGCACTGGCCATCATCTGGTCAGCAGAATTACACTTACCAGTAATTTATCTATGTGAAGAGACAGGCACCTGTACAGGATAAGCTCAGGATGMCACCAACATAGGTCTGAGACTCCTAGTTACAAAGCTCTCCTTTGCTTTCCTCCACAGGAGAGAGCACCAWGCTCTGCTCAAGATAAATATGCTCCCACTGGGCAAAGAGGCCTCCACTGGTCTCTGGAGAGGCAAAAACCATGCCTAGCAGCCTCCTCTTCTTGGAAGAGGCTGTCGTGACTCCCAATCGTCTCCAAACGGCTCCAGGGAAGGGCTTTGCCTGCCCCAGCCTGCTCCTGCCCTACGGAGCGAAGCCTCCGCGCTGCTCATTTCCCCTCCGCGTCAGAAGCAAGGCTTCCTGTTTAGAAAACATTTCTGCCTATAATTTACAGCACAATGGGACGAACAGGACGATGCTTTGATCAAGCGTTCATTACATCTCCCCTGCTTTGAGGATAACTTTGCAGAGTGGCAGCATCTGTTTTAATCCCCAGGTGGTGCCAATAAATACAGGAACTGGCAGTTTTAACACAAAGCTGTCTGCAGCCGAATGCTCCTTTAATAGTTAATAATAGAACAAAGCTACAAAATACAGCCACGATCCCACTGCTGCAAACCGCCCATTAAAGCAACACAGGACATGAGTAAAGGACGGCTGCTCGCACCCTCAAAGCCAGTGAGTCATCTGGTGCCCTCCCACCAGCACRGAGGATTTCAGCTTTCATTTATTTCGCCAATACCTGTCAGAGCAAATATAGCAGTGCATTCTAACAGGGCATCAAAAATCATCACTGCTGGGGCCAGAATGGAAGCTTTTAAATTGACAGATTTCACAGCAGAGACTGCAAAACACTTCTGCAGATCTTTCAGCAGATTGCCATGCCAAAAAGTTGCTGCTTGAAATTTGGTCTGTGAAGGAATGGCTAGTGGAGAAAAATAAGCAAAGCCATCACCTATTATATTTCATATAGAAATATAGAAGAACATAACTGAAAACACGTAGCAAGAGAAATAATAGATTTGACTTGCTGACACAGATGAGTCTTCCTTCAACACAGATTACAGGTACCAGGAGGACACACCAGTTTCTTTCCCACTGTGTGTTCTTAATGAAAGAATCAGAAGTAAATGAATAGGGCTGATACTGCAAGTATAATTAAATAACTATGTGGATTACACTTGCATGGGAAACCAGTAATGATGGTATAGCAGTAATAGTGTAATACTATAAGCAAGGGTTTGTAAATGATCTGAGAAATGGGCATTATACCCCTAAGCTTGTCTTTTCCTAGAATTACCATTCCTTATAAAAAAAAAAAGAAAATTAGGAGGAAAAAAAAAAAAAAACCAAGCACTCCCTTTCCCTGAAGAGCAGAACATGTAAAGGAAATTCCCCTCCTTTGCTTTYCCAGTACCAAGTCTCTCCATGGACTTGGGCTTATATTAGTGGGTCACTAAGCCCTGCAAAACACAACGGTTGGCTCATGCGGCCATAGGAGTTATTAGCAGATTGACCTGGAAGATCCTTTGCCTTTGTGAAGGCAAAATGGAAAGAAGTGATCCTGACCCTGTGGAGGGCAGGAGTTCCCAACTCTTTTAATGGGAGGTTATCCTCTATATCCCTGCATGTCGGGAATGTTGAACYTGAATTCCTGCTGCATGAAGAGTTGTCCCTTTTGAATGCTGCTGTAGCTCCGGTACAGAGTCAGAAGAAGATATATCCAGCCTTGGCTCTACGACACTGTGAAACAAAGAAAACAAAGGAGAAAATAAACTTAAGTGATGTTATAAAAGAAAAACAAAACAAAACTCATATCATTGAAGATCTAGATTATTCTGTTATATATATATTGCTTCTGGTAGGAGCTGTTGGCATGGAGACTGAGGCAAAATGAAATACTACATAAATAAAATATTAATGATACAGGGGAAGCTGCCAGTGTTTCAAAGAGATGCTGAGCTGCCAACCAAGCTACAATTTGGAGATTATTGTACAAACAACAGGGAAAAGCAGCCAGATTAAAGCTATAAAGGGCATTGGGTAACTCTCCAAATCTGGTAGCATTTTCTGGCCTTTAAACAGATTCAGAGAAGTCTGAATTGGCAGAGGGATGAAGTCACGAACTTTCTAAAAATGTTTCTCCCATTTTTTTTACTTTCTTTTCCACACAGAAAGGAAAGAAAGCTGCCTGTATAACAAACAGGAGAGGCAAGCCATGAGTCTGCAGGACAGGACTTAGAAGTGGACAAGATACCTCACAGAACTTGCTGGAGAGCTGAATAATGCAGTCTTAGCTTCCACTTGGGTGGGAGCTTTGGATTTCCTTTGCAAGCAAATCAATACTCAAAGCAGRAGGAGACAGGACATTGCTGAGGTGAGGAGCCCAGAGCCAGGAACTGGAAATAGTTCTGATTTTAATAGAATGGTTGTAGACCRAGAGGTCCAGGTTCAGGTCCCTCCTGCAATGAAACTGGTTGTAGCAGGTTCATCTGAGTCAGAAACCAAGCCTAGAGGGGAGAAAAAGTCACACTAAGGCCTTCCCAACAATGGGAGAAAGATGACCATTACTCCATCCTAGTTTCCCATGCTCCAAGTAATCTGCTTTTTATAGTCCATCAACTTTTCCAGTAAAAATATTGCACATATTTGTGCATTTCCCATTTTATAAATCTTTTGAAAAGCTATTGTGTTTTTTAAAAAAATCCCTACAAGCCTTAATTCTGAATTCTCACAGTGAATTATATTTGAAATCACACACTTTGAAAACATGTAAAGTATATCACCAAAGTGCACCTCAAAGTTTACCCTACATTGTTATAATAGCCTCAATGGATTTTCCTCATTGACCATGGAGCCAGAATTTCATCCCAAAATAGCACATTCTCTATTCACTAATGTTTAAAAGAATGGGGCTTAAGTCTTCTTACTCTCATCTCTCTATTCTTTGTGAGGCTTTGTGATCCACATGCCTTGTTCCACATCCTGTTACACATTCCCCAAAGTATATAAACAACATTAAAAAAAAAATAAATTCTCTGAAACCGGATAACTTGCCATTTACATATATCATAAATATTATTCCTAAGGAGAGTGGCCTAGAAGAGAAGGCTGGGTGACTTGGGGAATAACATAAAGTCTATCTGAACTAAATATTTGAAAGAAAGCTGGACATGAAAGATATGATTCATAATATCAGTTCTAATTCAAAAGCCCTGTTGTCTCCAGCACGTAAGATAGTTCCAAGCAATTGTTATTTTTGATGCAGAACTTATGCCRTTTCTTACTGAATGCTCTGTGCATCCCAGAACAAGAAGACAAAGGCTGCTGGACAAGGAGATTATGATGGAGGACAATGAAAACCCAAACATAATCACTGGAGATTTGTGTGCTGTCATTATCTCGCTATTCACAAGCAACTGGAGACAACTGAGAGCTGCACATCYTCGAGAGCCACGGGGCAATGCACTCAAAGGCCTTTCTCTGCATGCAGGTGCAGATAAATAGGGTGTGCATGTGCAGATGAGCCCACAGGCTCACATTTGGGCAAAATTGGCCACATTACTCTTTTGCATAACTGTATCTGAAATGTTTTAAGTACATGTAGATGGGCATGAGCTTATGGTAGAAGACTTACACAGGAAGAGGCAGTACCAGCAAAAATATAGAGAGAATACAATGGAACAAACTCAGCTCATGTCTCTATTAGGTATTCAATAATGAAGGCTAATGTTTGGGCTGGTCCTTAGCTGTATCAGTTTAAGATACGCTATCTAGAAAGCTGCATGAGGTGCTTATTGACTCATGGGGATGTGGGGAAATACTGGAGAATGGTGTGGAAGTGCTCATTAAAGTGTTTAGCACATGCACCTATTGTGCTTGTTTTCCTTCTATTGTCTGGTGGAGAAGCTCAGAGGCTGGGGTGTTCTCAGAAAGAGGATGTCGTAAGTCAAGATCAAAAAGGTGTTCCTGGGAAGTGGATGCTGAATTTATAAACAGAAGCACTCCCAGGCAGGGGCCAAACAGCCCCTTGGCCCAGTTCATGTCACTTCTGCACCTTCCACCCTTTCCCACCGTACCTGCTGCGCTTGGGTTTGGGAAAGGGCTTTGCTTCACCAGTAATTCAGTGTTCAGTAATGCTGAGCAACTCTTGCTACATAGCTGCTCATTATAGCTCCTCTCTAAGGGCAATAAATACTAGATGGAAAGTCTTTATTCAGAAATAACTACTCTACTTGAATGGGGACCAGGTCCACCACCCACCTCCCCGGTTTCTCAGTGTAGCTTAAGCCCCAAAGCCCCTTGAGCAACTTGGGGTTGGTGACTTGAGCAGTCCCTTCACCAACTTAGGGTCTCCTCTCCTCCTTGGTCCTTTCTGCAGCTCTGTAGAGCTCAGACTAGTTTCACAACCATTAATGATGAAGCTTTGTCTTCCCCTAATACAGCAGCACAAATTACAGCCAAAGCAGGGGTAAGCATATAATTGAATTTCTGCCATATTACCCACCATTTACACTGGCTTGATAGCAGCTGGAAGAGGAGAGATGGTACCCCATGAGAAAAAGCTATTCAACCCAAAATTTCTTAGGCAGCAGAGTGAGTTTGTATTAGATCAGTGTTGCACACCCTGCAGTGCCCTAAACCAAGATWTATTGCAGCATCAAACCAAGAACTCAGGCTGGTTCCCCCAAAGCTGTCTTTTTAAAACAGTTTAGACCTTCCCAGGTAAGTGGGCTGGAGCCACTGAGGGTGCTTGCCCTGTTGTTGTCTTTTAATGAATCTTAGAAGAGGGCTATTAGCAAGTGCCTCATTCCTCAGCTTTACTATCCAAGCAGAAATGATACTTGTTTTTATCTCATATAATTCTCACTAAAATTGAAGTAGCTTAGCTTGCCAGTGGATACAGCCAGGACTTCTTTAAAAATAGACAAGTCAGGAATAGATAAGTCAGTTGTTTTCTTTACAAATTTTGTACCAAGTATCAAATAATGAATCCATCATTTGCAGTGGCCACAACAATTTAAAGAATTTAGATGTTTTTCAAGAAGATAAGGTAAAAGTCTAGCTACCACTCATCCTACTCTTCTATTAAATCTACTAGATCTTCTACTAGTATCTAAAAGATACTCCTCTAGGTAAAATGCACTTCTCCCCAAGAGACTTACCTGGAGAAATCTAGGAAGTTCTTTAAAGAAGTTATTCCTAAAAAAAAAGGGGGAAAAGAAAGAAAATAAATTAAAAAACACACAAACAATGGAAAACCTTTCATGCCTAATGACTCTTGTAGTAAGCAAGCAATGTGAGCCAGAAGAATCATCCAGATGTATCCAAAATTGCCTAGGATAAATTCTCCACAAGGGACTGACAGCTTCGAAGATTCAAAAATGTTAATCTACTTAGCTGAGCAAGCTGATAAGCTTGGCTCAGGCTTTAAGACTAGCTACAAGCTACCAAACACCACAACCTGATAAGTTTTAATCATTCTAGTGCAAAGCGTTTGAGTCAGAAAAAACTAGTTGCAGAAAATATTGCAAGATTATTATCATTATTGCAAAAATGATAGTTCCACTTTGTAGGAGTAACACTTACATGTACTGAAAAACCAGATCTTGAAAAAAACCTCAAGGTATTTTTGCCTCATGCATCCTCTGACTTACATGAGTTTGTTTTCTTCAACAAAAATACACTGATGCTTTATAGATACAAACAAATTTTTCCACCAGAACAAAATGTTCACTGCTTTAATTAAATGTGCCCATGTAGTCTGGGCCTCACTTTAGATGCTCATCACACGAGTTTATCCATACACCACTCTTCCGCCTGACTGCAACTCATTTTCTGAAGGCAATTTTAAAAGTCTCCTTGAAATGTGCAACCACATTCCTCCTGGCAAAACAGAGTCACATTTTCAAAACTCCTTGGCAATTACTCTGCAGTGAGAGCTTTGCCTTTACCTTGAATGGTCTGTCTGCACTGTGGACAAGGGCTCAGATCAGTGATTTTCTCTCCATTGGCAAGTCCTTTCCCACCCCACAGGGCACAGCCATGCCAGGTCACCAAAGGCACTGATTGCAAGCACAGCCCCATAACGAGGAGCTTGCATGCACACGCACTCAACTTGCAGGCAGGCACAGGCTGCTGTTGCTAATAGAAACAGATGCTCGATTTCTATAGAAGAGGCTCGTTTCCTTGGTAACTCATGCCAACGTAGGGCCTCATCCTGCTGCCCCTTCTAATGAGGGCACAGAAGCACGTGGGAGGTGCTGGGTGCCTTTCTGTACCTGTCTTTTAGAAATAGGCACTACCGTTGTTCCAAAAGGGGATTTTTGATTTCCCTGTTGTGAACTAATTAAAGGAGGGAGGAAAACATGAACAGCGCATTCAATCAAATGCTCTAATGTAAGAATAGTCACTAGTCTACACAAGTCATGTCGCGTAACATAGAACAAGTTTGACTTAAAAAGGGAGGAGAAAAAAAAAAGGAAAAGAAAGAAAAGATTGCACTCAAAGTTGCAAATGAGCAGAGGAACATTGGAAGGTGTGAAATATCCTGCCATTTTAGCCAGCAGCTCCTAGCTGTTCCCAGAGAGTCACACAAAGCAGTGGGCAATGGCTGGACAATATCATATCTAAGCACCTACCTCAGCATCTCACCTGTGGAAGTCCCTGGTAGATTTTCCTCTGAGTCCTGTAGGTGTAGCATSAAGCAGTAAGAAATTCTGAGATTTTACTGTGTTCCTTTTATTTTTTTTTCTCCTTTCTTCAGAAACAATACATTTTCCTTACACCATCCTCAGACCTCCTGCCTGGCACCTCCAATGAAAGAGAAGTGGATCTTTTTTTCTGCTAGGAGCAAAACTTAAATCAGAAACTACGGCCAAAGGCAGGCTGCATCTCCTGCAGTGTAAGGAAGAACATGAGGTCTGCTGAGAGCAAACACACCCAACACCAAACTTATCTCAGCAAGCTCAGCCATGCCCAGCTTGGAGAAACTCATGCGTCAGTGTGGTGTTGATGAACCTTCGGTTTGGAGATAGTGATAAGAGCAGGTAGAGCAGTGGCTTGCTAGACTACCACTGGAACCACCAAGGAACATCAGATCAGACACTGTCACTGCCAGCACCCCACACCTTCTGCTTCTTTCTCTCCTCATTGGAAAAAAAAAAGGAAGAAGGGAAGAAAGGGGAGATATAACAAAAAAGAAAAACCTTCTGAAAGCATCACCTTGTGCAGGAGTAGCCTAAGGACTTGGAGACACACTGATGGACCAAGGAATGTAGAAGCTGGGACCTGCTATCTCTCCCTACACCCCTCAGCAACAGTTCAGATGGCTGGAAAAACACTCATGGGGCTTTGTAATTCCTCATTCCTTAGTGGAGAAGAAACTGCTAGAGGAGGAGTTCAGAGACAGAGACAAGCATGGATGCTTCAGGTTTCAAAGCACTTGCCTGAAGTCCCTGGCTCGCTTGAACATCGAGGATGACTCATTGACAGCTGCTGTACTCTGGCTCTACTCACCATGGAAGTACCAGGGAGTTTCTCGTGCGCTCCCGGAGGAAAGATGTGTTTACCAGATATCTGTCCTTTGAACAAACACAGCTGGACAGCAGCAGCACTGGCTGCCGCTGGGCCGGGCTGTGCATGTGCTAGCCAGCATGTACGTGACCTCGGCCACTTGGCAATCCAAGCAGAACTGGTCTCTCAGCCTTTCCCTCATCCCACCATCTCCACCTTGAAACAGGATCCAGACTACCAGTGCCGCTCCTGGCAAATATTCTCCACTAATGGCATCTCCAGACCATCTCGTCCTGCTTTGTCTCTACTTCTTTGTCCACCGATTACTCAACTCACTGATATTCTCCCTCCCAACCCATCAGGTTTTGCCTTTTTCAGGTTTGTTCTGTTCCTTTTTCTCTCTGTCATTTCTTTCTCTAATCCCTGACGTTGATTTATTTGTCTTCTAGTGTTGAGATTAATCTGAGGCTTTTGGTACTTTTTGTTCCTCCTCATCCTTTTCTTCCTCTCCCCTCCTCATTCTTTCTTTTGTTGGTCTAAAGTGCAGCAYGAGGCTGCTGAAGCCAATCTGCTCCAAAAACCTTTCGGAACTGTATTTTCCTTCTTGGAAAGAATCCCAAAAAACAAATAATAAATGTGTTTTTTAATTAGTGAGAGACCACTGGCCTAGCATTAAAATTACCTTCTGCCAACAGGATGCACTTAACTGACTGCTGATCCGCTCAGTCAACAGGGCTGCTGGGTTCTTTCATTAATTCAACTAGAGAAAACAAGTCACCAGACAGACTTGGCTCTGCAAATAAACAATATCCGTAATTATGGCAACACATCTGTAGTTAAGGTTAAGCCACTGTTCTTCTGCAACCCAGTATTTTCTAGGCTAGGTTGGCAATGATGGGACCTGCTGAACCAAAACTCCTGCACTCTGCTCTCCTGCAGGCCTGTCTCACCTGCAGCACTGCTACAGCAAGGAATATATTTATTAAGCCAAACAGCTCAGCAATTAAGGTAATCTCCCACAGGCAAAAGCTAAGGCCTTATAATGTTCATCTTTGCAGTAGTTAATTGTAGGGAAYACATCATTGAAACTCATGAAAGTCCTTCCCTGATAACTGGGCATGCTTGCTACAGCATGACCTCATATCTTCTCTATGGACAATAACTAAATATGATCCTCCAACCTAAACCTTTTTGGATTCTCTAGTATAGGAGAATTTTTTTTTCTTTTTTGTTTTCCTTCTTTACAGRCATTTTGGTTCACTTCTCTTAGTACCAATAACTCTCCTCGCTTTCCTTGCGAAGGTTTTTTGATCATCTGAGAATCATGTGAATTCTTGAAAGCAGACTTTAATAAATAGACTTTTAAGAAAGTTTATTTTAAACATCTCCTGGATTCAAGGTGAATATTTTTGCTTGTTAGGAGATCAAGCYTGAATTTGAGACATCAATCAGCCCTTCGCTGGCTGACATATCCCTACAGGCTAAGACCAGCTTGCTTGTTAAGTTCCTACTGCCACACAACATCAAATACTGTTTGTTCACTGTTCAGAAGTTGCATCCGACTACCATAGTTATTAAGGGATAGGAAAGGCCTTTGGTGGAATAATTATTATAAAACTCATGCAGGCTTWTCACAATATATTATTCTGGAAATTAATATGGTGGCATCAAATGCCAAATTCCCATTAAAAATTAATCTCCTCAAACAAATCCCAAGAGCATCCTTTGCAAGGGAAACCAAAGAGCCAGCCAATGCATTAATAGTTGTGCATCCAACAGAACCAGCCACTCCTTGTCAGTCTCAAGCATCAAGAGAGGAAAGTTTGCAAGCACCCTGGCACATGCCTTCAGAATAAGAAGCAGGATTTCTGCAGGATGCATTTGCAGCTTGCCTTTCACTCAGGAATGCAGCAAGTGGCTACGTAGCCTTTCCAGAGCCAGCAATCGTCAAGCTGAAACCTTTTGCTTCTGACAATCTGCTCAGTAAAGGTCAGCCACTTAGTAATGAAGCCGTATACATTAGCAGCACAGCGAGAATACAAATGACAGCCCGTTCTGGGAAATCGCAGGGACGGCCACTGCACATGCCACGGTATCTGTCAGCAATAGTCCCTATTTTTAATTTGTCCCCATGCCCTCTGTTAAGAGATATAGAGCAGATGATGAAGTCAGAAACAAGAAGTCRTCTGTTTGCTGGCTTGTTCTGATTAATGTCTGACGTTATAAAGATTCGAGGTAAAGGTTTGGATAGGAACTCACTCACTGCATTTGCAACGCCAAATCCCATGCACACCCACTCATGTTCTGGGACTTCACACCAAATCCTCAGAGAGCTGCTGGTGTCTTCTCCAGGGAAACAAGGGCTTTCTCCTCTCCTGCTCCATATGAGCATTTTTGGAGTAAGATTTCGATCACTTTTTATCTGTAACTCATCTAGAAAAGAGTATTTCTTCCCTCCTAAGCTGGAGAAGGTGCTCCTGGAAGGAAATGCCTCGAGGACACATTCCACAAAATGCTACAAGCTGTCCCTTAGCAGGGTGCTTTATGTCACCTTCCAGTCACAAGAGCTCTCCTCGGCTCTGACAGGCCATTGAAGATGTTAGTCATGCCAGGATCAAGAATTGAGCAATGAATTATCTTTCTCCTTATGAAATTATACTGAGAAATACAGATATACTATAAAAAATAA